AAGAATCATTTCAAACAGTTTTCAGCATCCCTCCCAGAAAGGGCTTTTGTATAGTTTTTTTTCTTTTCTTTTTTTTTTTTTTCCAGAAAATGTTACCCTTTCATATACATGTAGCTTTAAACTTGAAACTCCTTTCACATATCTTCAGTAGACCCACTACTTCCCTATTCTTGAATACATTAGCAATGCGTGTTTAAAATCCCTGCCTTTTTGTCATATCTCCCGCCTGATAAAAAGTGCACCTTGAGTCAACTACAGGGAGTCCTCTCAGCTTGACGCAATACAAAATAAAAAGGGTATAAAACAGAAAACAGTAATCACATTATTTTATTCACATCTTGGCAATTGTTTGTGTTCATTTTACTAGCAATGCAGAAATATTCAAAACGATTGTTAATATCTATTTCAAGTTTTGACTCCAGTTGTTTACGTATCTCGTTTATAGAACAACAATAAGATAATACATACATCACCAGCCACCATGCCTGTTTGACATGGCTTGTGTTTGACATGACTGGAGAGTAAATCTCTTTCGCAAAAAAGTAGGTCTACACAGTCTCTTGGATGCAAATTTGTCTATCCATCACACAAATTTTAGATATATTTACTCGATCGTCGATGCTGAATTCTATACCGTGAAGAAATGCTCGCTCTGATCGAACTGCATAGAGTACAGAAGAAATTAATGTATTGTGAAGAACAACAAAATTAAAAGATTACGCAATTCGAATTTTTTGCTTGAAGTAAGCATATTTTAAAATACAAAATAATTAAATCACGGGCTTCGAAGATACCAGCACCGCCAGAATTTCAATGTGTACATGAAAAAAAATACAATACTGAAACAGGCTACCTTAGGCTTACCTTGGACTCTAGAAGGAGAGAAAGCGAGTGGAAAACCAACAAATTCTCTAGCCAAGAAAAAAGCTATGAGCCACGTCTGGTAAACATGATCTCACTTGACTTTGACTTGTAACAATTCTTTGACCTCGCCGGCCGCGCTGTTGTGACCAACACATGATCACAGTCATAAATACCTCTCTCAGCTTTCATCTACGTAAAAGCCCTAGGCAAAATACTAAATATTTACAAAAGCGAAACGCATGAACCAAAATGGCCGCGCTCAACTTTGAAGGCCTTCGAGAAACTCGTACTCAGGCTCTCCAGGTTATCGGCCAAAAGTTTACATCTAAGTGAGTGACACATTTCCATAATGGTTGTTTCTACGCTTCGCGTATCCAGGACTAAAAACTACGAATATATTGTTGGGAATGCCGGATGAAAGCTAATAAGGTCTTTGCTTACTCCATCAGCTGGTGGGATGGGATTATGATACACGCTTGGGGGTACCGAAATCTCATAGTGCGTCTTTGCTACCTGCGTTATACAATGCTTTGGTCTTTATTAAAATATTTTAACAAAAAGCCCGAGCCAAGTAACAAAATGCCGTCTAACCTAAACCCTAACCCTAACCCATCCCTGTGTAGCCAATCAGATTACGCGATGACCTCATAGACGGCAAGTGGTACACACGAGTAGGCTATCGCTCGTACATATATGCATATGGAGTCGAAGAACAAAAAAAAAAAAATTAAAATAAAAAAAAATCACCATTATTAAAAACTGGTGGTTAGCGTACGCGTAGTTTCTTTTATATTTTAATTTTCCCTATTTTGGGGGGAGTTTTTAATAAAATAATTATTCCACTCCCATCTTGGGCAAGAGAATCATAATAACTTATCTTCTTAACTTAAAAAGTTAAATTATTATAATGAACTAACTTTCAAAGTTGAGGTCCGCTTCTATAAACTGCACTGTCTTGAGTTAAGCGAAAGGTTTCTGTTTAATACGTATGTTAGACCTGTTTCGGTTATTTACTGACTTCAATTCCTCCAGACGCCAAACAATTTAAACGCTACGTAAGTTTTGAACAATTTGAAGTGAAGTAATTTTACACTGGTTTTCGTCTAGTTACGGGGAATGTTTGATCGTGATTCAAAATGGTGGTAACTTCTACCTACCGCAAGAAGCAGAAGAAGAAGAGGCCCAACGAAAAAATCCCATTCCGAAAAGAAGAAATAAGGCTGCCACCTGCCAATAAAAAAAAAATGAAAATGAAAATACAAACAAAATAAAATAAAATTCATCAGAAATGTGAAATTATATTACTCATTATTAACAACAAGATGGTACTATGGAGATTTAAAACCAAAAATAAAAAATGCCAGAAATATAGAACACCTTTGAATAACGATTGAAACGTTGCACAAGCATGGTAGTCCGTCTTTACAGCTGCCGTGTATGTTCAGCATTTAGAAACAGCAAAACACCTCTTTTTCCCGCAAAAAAAAAAAAGTTGACAGACGTCATGTACTCTTAATTACTAAAGGAAGAGAATATTTCCAGCTGTGAAGCTCAATGAATGTAAACCACTTTAATCGTGTTTTGTGGTTATTTTGAAATTTTGATGTGTCCCTCTGAAACAAACTGACACGGAACCAAGAATTTCAAAAGTCATATTTAAATGTACTATTGAAAATAAGTAATTTTCGTCTGGAAAAATAAAATTAAATGTTCCGATCCAGTTAGTAAGCATTTAGAGAGAGAAGGAAAAGTCACCTGGCCTTTATTAGCTGTTGTTCGTTAAGGCCTAAGCCTTCACAAAGAACGGGTCTGTGCATATGGTTATTGCGGAGAATGAATGGAAACTCGGTAGGATTGAAGTTAAACCCAAAACCTTTCTTTTTCCATACAATGACGAGTAATTATGAGTAACTTCCAGAACAATTGCGTTCTTGAATGGCAATAAAAACTGTTAAACTCCGCCGACCTCGTAAGACGCTGAACAAGTAATGTTTTGAGTTCAATCGTTAAAGTTGCCATGCTCTTTATTGATTATTTGAATGCACGTAAAAAACATCAAAAGTCCGGCGGCCAAAAAAAATAGTAAAATAACTGGCTGAGATAATTTTTTTTCATAATTCGATAATGTAATAAATTATAACAGTTTAATGCGATATTAAAAATAAGAATACCTTCTAGCAATGCTTAAAACGCAGCATAAGTATTGAAGACTGTTTTGCAGCTGCCACTATTGGTTAGTGTTTATGGTGTCCAAGCTTATTTAGCTGCGTCTTGATAGCATTTTTGACTCGCACAAGATTATGTTAAATGCGGGATCGCTTTGTTATGATTGTCCTGAAATTTGATGATACATGTGCAAACCTTGCGAGGTCCGTCAGCAACTGATTTAATGAAGCAAGGAAACAAATTTGTCGTTCAAATTATGTAATCCTTTTCTAAAAGTGTCGCTAANTTTTTTTTCATAATTCGATAATGTAATAAATTATAATGGTTTAATGCGATATTAAAAATAAGAATACCTTCTAGCAATGCTTAAAACGCAGCATAAGTATTGAAGACTGTTTTGCAGCTGTCACTATTGGTTAGTGTTTGTGGTGTCCAAGCTTATTGAGCTGCGTCTTGATAGCATTTTTGACTCGCACAAGATTCTGTTAAATGCGGGATCGCTTTGTCATGATTGTCCTGAAATTTGATGATACATGTGCAAACCTTGCGAGGTCCGTCAGCGACTGATTTAATGAAGCAAGGAAATAAATTTGTCGTTCAAATTATGTAATCCTTTTCTAAAAGTGTCGCTAATTCAAAAGTTTTACTCGCGCAATAAATCTTTCTTCACCGAGATGCCCAAAATAGCGATTACCCTTTTCCTCAACTCCAAAACGTATCCATGGTGAACAGAGATATATTTTCAAGACACTTTTTAAGGAACCAAGTCGTCGGACATGATACATGAATATACTGTCAACAGGAGGAAATAATTTCCATTGTGAACCTGAATAATTGTGAAATATTGTGTTTTCCTTTTGATCTTTGCGTACTTTTATGAATAAATACTTTATTCAAGAAAGGTGTAAAGATAACGGAGTTACCCGACTTTATTATACATCCATCTAACTTTGCCGTAATAAAGCTAGCTATGAAATGTTGCCCTCTACAAACCTCTTCGCTTATTTGTCAAGAAAATTGCTAAGTTCTCAGATATACCCTTTAGCCCAGAGCGCTTAATCGGCATTTTTTTTCACGCAAAACTGATAGTTCAAGTACAGGAGTTTCCAAATTTTTATGATGTAGCGCTATCTTTTAGAGCAAATCAATTATTCCGGCGTTCTATAAATAATGAAGTCTGGTAAGTTCACAGCTTCGTTTTTACTCTCCTTTTAAAGGATGATTTCACTTACGGGTTTGCTGACCAAAAGCTTAACGGTAATATGTAGAAACACGCCTTGATGGTCAGTGACCTCGATCACTTGATTGCTGGTAATACAACCACATTCTATTTCCAGGGATCCTCAACAACCTAAAATATTTTACACATATCTAAAACGAGCATTTCACGCTAATATTTGTTTTCTTGGTATTACACGTATGATCTATTATTGACAGTTCGAGATTTCAAACGCCTGTTAGTTCATAAAAGTTGGGGAGAAAATAATTTAATTGTTTTAGTTTGAATCTACTAGTCGTTCAAAATTTTCATCTAAATCTTCTTCCCAGACACTTCGAAACGTAAAGAAGCGTCTGCCATTTTGTTAGCAAGCGCACACTGTTAGACTTCTCACTATCTACTGAGCAATTAGATTATGAGCTCGAGATTTCTATCGCGTGATAGTTAACGAGGGCGCAGCCCGAGTCTATCACGCATAGAAATCGAGAGCAAATAATCTAATTGTTTTAATATAAATCTACTAGTCGTTCAAAACTTTATCTAAATCCTCTTCACAGATACTTCGGAAACGTAAAAAGCAGCCGTCATTTCGCTAACAAGGGCACACTGCTACGCTACTCGCTATCTATCACAGAAAGCAAATGGCTTAGCCAATCAGAGAACGGCATTCGTGATAGAACGCTAGTAGGTTTATACTAAAAAAGAATAGATAGCGAGTAGCGTAGCCAATAAGAGAACAGCATTCGTGACAGAACGCTAGTAGATTTATACTAGCTGATTATTATTAATACTCTTTTTTTTTCTCGTTCACTTGAGTGCTTTTGTTTAATCATTTACAATATCGCTTTACAATACATAAGTAAAATACTTATTTACAATGCAGAACACTCTTGCACGCAAGTTCACGTTTATCAATGCACGGATAAACCAATGATACTTGAGATGACTGATCCAGATGTAATCTGATCCAGATGCTGTAAGTGGGTGATGGGTGATGGGAGAAGAGACCATGGATCCTAATTTTGTACTTAAGAAAGGGCCAGAAAGGTTGGAAAGAAGCTTTTCTTTCTGAAAACCTCGGCCCTCCCAGCCTTACATCTGTGCCTTACAATGTGACCGGGGACCTTTCCCAAGTTCGCCATTATCGCAAGCAATCTTTTACGTTAAAAATCCTAACAAAAGGACAAAAAACATGAGAAAGGTTATCTGGTACTTAGTTCTGAGACAACTTCCAACGTCTGTAAACAGGGGCCTCGTTCTGTTGTCACAAAATGGATTGAAATTTCCCATGAGAGTTTTGCGAGAGTCATTGTTGAACGAACAGAACTTTTGCCTCGCCTCATCCACGCATGTTTTGGCGTTTTCGAAATCTTCACACAGTGGTGAAGGAACTGAAATAAATTTGGAACGAAAAGTTCTCCCGCATTCAGCGGTTTCAACCGCGTAGTTATTATTACAAGATGCAACTGTTTGTAGCAGAGGAGGAAGATCATCCCAAATGATTTGCTTAATAGGAGACTCGCAAAGAAGTTGTGTTCCTTGTACACTTTGCAGAACCACGAGAACCAGTGCCTCCAACAGTATGGGATTGGAAGATGGTCCTATGCAGGATGCAAACTGTGTCTTCAAACAGCTTAGGAATGTCTGAGATTGGTCTCTGGAATAAAACAAAGATATGAACTATTAAGCTACCTACCCACAGACATAATAACATTAGCCCGGCATAAAATGTGAATTTGGATAAAATGCCTTGATCCATATTCTTAATCAAATATGTTTTGGTTCAATACTGACTTCGGTACATTTTTTTTTCTTTGCTTCATGACATTGTGAGATCTTACCATTTATAGGCCAGACCAAAGGAAAATACCACTGAAAGGTGCCAAGAGCAAAACTGAACCAGAACATCAACATTTCGTGTCGTTAGTATACGGCTTTAAGTTGAGAACCTATTGTGCTAGATACGAATTGACTTCAAGAATATAAAGAACCTGTGAAACTTCAAAATTTGCAACATTCTTAGTTCCATAAGTGAAATATTCAAAAAGATATTATCGACTTTCAAAAATTGCAAAGCTTATGGGTGGAAAAAGCTAGTGATATATTGAGTTTATGCATTCTTTTGTAAATAAAAACCTCGCACCACAGAAAAGGCATTCAATACATCGGGTCAAAATTCTTTGCGATACTTCATTGTGTATGCCCTTTCAAGTTCACAAACTGACGCCATTAGAGAAATATTAATTAATATCAATCACTAAAGTTAGATTGGCACTGCTACACATTAGCTTTGATTCTTACCAAGGCAATATCCACGCAAAAAAATGTATCTTAGCAATATGCCAACAAAAATAGAAAGGAAAATGCAGTGGGCTCCATACAATGCTTCTGATGCATCACAAATGAGATTATAGTTATCAGTTTAATATCAATTGATGCCTTCAAAGCTTACCTACAACTAGTTGCCACTTGAGTTGAATAAATGGCTTCAAGGAAAATATTTTCGCAGACGATCGCCCTCTTGTAAAATAAATCATTATCGCACACAAACGTAAACCGTCTCGAGGTGAGAGCTGTAAGTGAACAACAATGAAGGAAACTTGGTACATGTAAGTCTTCCTTCTGTCGGAAAATGGGGAGATAAGGAACCAGAAATTGAGTTTTCGTCCTGGCTATGCCATTGTTACTGTTAAGCTGATAAAATACCTGTTGCCAGTTGCATGTAAATTTTAAAATTGTTCTCGCTTAGAAGGAAAATAGATAAGAACGTCTGATAATTATTATAATTAAGCTAGGGACTATAACTGGGACGAAAGCAAAAATCGGGTCACCATCAAGGGATTTTTTTTTCCACTTTATAGTATTACGTAGTACAATAAACAATTTGGAAATGCATTTACTGTCTGAAATGGAATCTAGAAATAAGAACTGGTTGCAACCCAATACCAAACTTAATTATCTTCGCGGCTCTGAGAGCTACTGTAACCTTAAAAAGAAGACTGATTAATTCCACAGGAGTGGGACGGTGTTATTGGAAGAAAAGCGTTAGGCATCAACATCTTGCCAGCGAAGATCAAGATGTGATATGGTAGCCATCGACACTAAGGGGAATAATTGTTTCAGTATACACATATAACAAACCCGTAGGATAAAATTCCCTTAAAAACATACTCGAAAGACCCACAAAAGCCCATCGAGCGCGAAATGTGTAGAGGTACAAAAAAGTCACAAGAAAGATCAGGTGAAAAACAAAAGAACTCGAAAAGTACCTCTTGTGTTTGGTGCAACTACAAAGTGGTAAACGTAACGGAAACATCTCAGTCTTCAGAAGTTCACGAAATTAACGTTCGTGGAAGTTACTCCCTTGATGGTTAACAACCGCAACTTTTTGTGAATACAAAAGAACTCACCTGGGGTAAATGGTAGGCTGAGCGGATCTATACCATCTGTACAAAATGGGTTATAAAGGTCATCCTCCATGAGATCTCCTATGGCACAGCCACTGTGGACTGCCATTGAGACACACAGTTTGGATCGAGCATAATCTCTGAGAAACACGTAATTCGAAATTCTTAGTAAGTTAACGTTAAAATATGTTCATTGATATTCTGTTTGGTATACATAAAAAGGATATATATGTATCATGTGGCCTTGAGTTAAAAAAAAAAAAAATCTTCATCTGATCAGTAAGGGATGTTCCTTTGTGTTCAGCGAATGGCTAAGCCAAATACCAGGACCAGTTCAATTTCGTTTTGCACCCAGAATACATCACCGTGAGGTATGTTCTATTCGTTAGGAAATACAGGTACAAGACCCATCAGTTTCATGATCCCCTCACAGCAACGTTCAAGGAGTTCTAAAACAAACCTTTAAACCATAAAGAATGATTTATTCCGGTTATTTTCTGATATACTTACACGCAAAGTTGCTTGTCGAGCCTATTAAGGATCAGTCGGAGTCGAAAGTCGTCCCAGCACCGGACAGCGGTTTGAAACATAGTTTCGTTACAATTGAGGGCGCCAACTAGGAGTGAGTTTACAGAGATTCCATCAGCGGTAAGAGTTCCGCAGTGATACAACACTGTTTGCACCAATCGACGGACTTCATCTTTAAATGGAGAAAGTGATGTACCCGTAAGACAGGTCTCCATGGTTGATGACAAGCAAAATTCCAGTTTACTATACTTCTGTCTGGATTATAAAGAGATTATAAAAGTAATCAGAAATAAGTATAATCACCTGATAAGCACCGTTATCTTCCAAAAATAAATGTGAGTGGGATTATTGAATTCTATATATTGTCCAAGTTCAAATATCAGCACGCATAATTTGCCTAATGCAGACAAGGGGTAATACGTTACTTGTTAGATGCTAGATTTGACAGGTAACATATTGTCTCAAAGCCGCTTGCCTTCGAAGGCTGCAAAATGATCTCAGAGTACAATTGCTGAAAGTAAAGTTCGGATCCAATAAACTTAATATTAAAATTACCGGCAGGTTTCACTGTTTTTCTCTGCTAACGTTGTTATCATTTCCCGTTGACATTTATATGCTGATGAAGCAAAGGTTTGAGTGCTGCAACGCCCAATCAAAACAGTCGGTTCTGTCAAAAGAGGTCCACAAAAAAGAAATTATATTTAAAAGGTATTCAGCAATTTGTAGCCCTAGAATAGACATAATAAGTGTCAAAATACAGGCCGCAAAAATCTGGCAAACGACATTCACGTCAATTATCTTGGACAGTGGTTTGAAGTTATTGACGCTATTGTTACCAGTTACTGTTACAATTACCATTACTGTTGTTGTTTTCTTACTTGTTTGTTTGCTTTTTTCGCCTAATTTGTTCTTGTGTTGCCCCAAAGCTGATAGGTGCATTTTAAATGAAAGGCTTAGTACAGCTCTAATAAGTCTAAAGCATTAAAGATATTAAATAAATTTAGCATTACTCGAGCTGTTCAGCGGTGGATCTGTATTGTAGGTACAGAAGGGGTTAAACAAATCCCTGTTGATGTACTGTCCTATTGCACAACCAGTTTTGGCCTCCTCTGTCACGCATTCCTTTGCAACAGCATAGTCCCTGTGAAGATGTAAATGGAACAGAAGGAAACAACTTCTTAACAGAATTAATCTGAAAATATTTTCAAGTGATGCATGACCAATTGAAACTTCAATATGATACAATGTTGTGGG